ACATGAGAACCCTAATTCTACCGCTAGCACCTGTGTGCTCAAAGCAGGGCACAGCAGCACATGCCAGAATTCCCAGTGCTGGGGGGCGGCAGAGAAAGGTGGGTCCCTGGAGCAGAGCAGCCAGCTAGTCTAGTGGAACCAGTGAGCTCTGGCTTCAGTGAAGGATCCTGTCCTCCCCCCACCAAATGAGGTGAAGAGTGATGAAAGAAGACACCCAACATGGATCAGCCTCTCCCCCTCACAATATCCATTGTTCCCCAGTATCCATGCTCTCCTCCCTGAACCTGTGTAGTTCTTTACATCCAAAACAACATCCATGCTTTTCCTCAAGGTCTCACAACTAAAGCTCTGAGGTTCCCTGAGGCTGACATACTAACCCTGATTTAGTTGGTGGCTTCCAGTTGTTATCACAAGTGTATTTACCATGCACTAGACTTTAAATAATGACAAGTTTTATAACATGTGCTTTAGGGATTAAGAGTCAGGCTACTAGGGAAGTGATTAAAAATATTATAAACATTCTCCCCTTCCATGTTAACATGTCCATTGATATTGCCATTGTCCTGGTCTTGTTTTGCAGCCATTTCTGAGAGAGACTGTTTCCCAGCAGACTTCTGGTATTCTGGCCCTTACATTATTTCCCTGTTTCCTGAGGTCTTCCCTGAGCCAGATGCAGGAGGTGTGGCACAGATGTATCCATTGGAGCTGGGAGTCCCACAGCCTTCATCTCTGCCTTGTGAGCAGTTATGGATTTCTGTAAAAAGTCACTTTGATGGGGGTTGGCAGCAGCTACACTTATCTGTAGTCTAAAGATAGGCTGTGGTAAGGAATGATACAGTTCTAGTCAAGTGTTGATCATAGATTCTTTTCTAAGTTCCATGACCCCACTTGCCCCAGGAAGCTGGCTTTATTGCGGTTAAATAAGGATCAGGATAAACAAATAGGCTAAATAGATGTTTATTCAGGGAGAAATAACTTACAACCTAGACAGATGAACACCAGCAAGTCCCACCGGATGCTCTCCTGTCCAAGTCCCACCAGCAAGAGAGTGTTCCCCGTTCTTCCTTAGACCTCTTTCCACAGGTCACTTCCGCCCATGGCCCCACCCCCAGTGGGCATGGTCAGTGCCACAGAAGGAGACAAAGTAACTATCTCACTACACTGGCTTGGTTTCCAGTACCAGATATGATTTCCCTCCTTAAGTCCAATTAGACAACTGTTGATTGGCTCATACATGTAAGAACCATTCATTGTACCTTTATGCATATGGTGCTAGGCAAACAACTACAGTCAACTAATGACTGCTGGGAGGAGAATTAGTTTCTCCCAGGGATGATCCCTCTTATTGGTTGTCCAATGCAGAGTGGTCAACCTTGATTCCATGTACACAAAAACTGAGTCAGCAGACTGTGTGTGTGTGTGTGTGTCTGTGTGTATGTATATCATACAGTTTGTTGAGTATGTATATATGTATATGTGTGTATGTATGTAAATATGTGTGTGTATACATATACATATATGGGTGTATACATATATGTATATGTATACACATACATAGATATAAATATCAACACTGTAACAATAATTAAAGTAGAAAGAAAAGCCTTCAACTTGTGTGGAGGACATAAGGGGAGTTTGAGGGATGGTAGCTGGGAGGGGCAAGAGAAGAGGAAGAGACCAGGGAAAGTGATATATTCTATATAAATTAAAAATATTGTAAATAGATTTTAGATTATTTCTCTGCACCCTTGTAGCCTATGAGCCAATGTTTGACACATAGAAGGTATTTAATAAATATTTGCTACTGTAGCAATTTATAAAAATAATCCTGAGACTATTTTCACTAAAAGCAGCCTCATGACAAATGAGTGTCTAGTCCCCAAATGACTGTTTTTGAAATATAACTGATTATACACTTGCTAAAACGTGGGCTTAAATGTTTATTTTCCTGCCTTGTTCCTATTTGTTTAAATGAAACCCTGGGCTTTACTGAAAATGGAGACTAACGCTATAAAACAGTGCTGCTATCATCCCCACTAGAGGGGTCCGCCCTCCCCCTCGACCCAGGTGTGGATGCAGACCAGATCCCCAGTGGTGCAAATGTCCCTCTGGTCCAGCTTTGCTAAGGGAGGTGGGGCGTGTCAGCTTCCATCTTCTCTCTATATATACTTTACCCTTTTGTTGTATGCAAAGGTCTGCAGTTGTGACCCTGCCACAGGGTGAAAAGAATCAAATTAGAGGACTTCTGGCAGGTAGATCCCCTTTAGCCTTGAAGCCATGCAAACCTTATTATTTGTTGGCCTCAACTGTCAGCTGCAGCCAGGGTGAGTCCTTGTCACTCTGACCTAAGGTTTCCTCCAGCCTGGTGCAGTTGTTTCAAAAGCAGGAGAGCATGTGTGATAAGTGGGGTTTGCAGTGAACAGGCCTCTCTGAAGGTCAACACCCCAGCTGGGCATCCCTGCTATTTTTGCCCAAGAGCCCAAGAATGGCAACATCTGTGACAGCCCATTGCATGTCTATCATTATTGCCACGAAAGCTTTGAAACCTTAATTATTACTCATTCTTTGAAGTCAAGTTGGAAGCCTGAAGACTATAAAGCAGGTTGTTATTGCTTGCTTGGTTAGCCACTTGTACCCCAAATGCCCTCTTCCTAGTATGACGGCAGGAGCTAGCACATAGTAACAGGCTGTCCACACCCTGCAAATGAAATGCTGGTCTGTCTAGATAAGAGTGAGGATGACAAATGGGGCTGGGAAAAGGACTCAGCAGGTAAAGCGCTTGTCTCACAAGCATGAGAATCTGTTTTCTCTCCAGAACCCATGTTAAGAAAATAAATAAATAAAAGCCAAGAATGGTAGTGTCCACTAATAATCGCAGTGCTGGGTGTTTTCTGTTTTGAGACTGGCAGATATCTAGGACTCACTGGCCAGTCAGTCCAGCTAAACTGGTATCCCAGGTCTGTGAGAAACCCTGTCTCAGAAACTCTCAGCCTAAGGTTATTGAGGTCAACTGGGATCAGGGATAAGTAACCAGTGTGGATGAAGCATGAGAGAAATAGAAAGAAACACCTCTGGATAACACATTAACTTGGAAAATGGAAAATGTCTTCAGTCAGAAGTTTCCCCAGTTACTGCCCACAGATAATAAATAATACCTCTCTCACTATTTATTCATAATGTCCTCCCCACTCTCTTGCTGCAAGATTCTCAGGAGGAAACTGAGCTTCGTGAGGTCAGGTGTGACATCTGGTTTTGCTTCTGTGATTACTCACAAAGTTTTGCATGGAGTGGGGACTGGCTAAATGTCTGCAGAATTAAGGCATCTGACACAGTTATGTGCTCCTTAAGTGGGAGGCTATGTTGCAGCTGTCATTGAGGTTGCCATGGTCACCATCTGTGTTACCAGCATCATCATCAGTGTGACTATCAGTGGCACCAGCATCATCAGTGTGGCCATTGGTGGTACCAGCATCATCAGTGTGGCCATCGGTGGTATCAGCATCATCAGTGTGACCATCAGATGGTTTTATGTTGGGAATCCTCTCTGCTCTTCAGATCTCAGGGTGATGAGTATCACAAGCATATGGTCCTGATGTGATGAATCTGTCACTCTTCTCAGGTTGGAAATGTCACCTAGACTTCTTCCTTCTGACCAGAACACTCTGTATTTCACTATTCTAACCAAGTATGAGAATTTCAGAGAATAGGTTTGTTTCCCCTGTCTTTCAAAGAGACTTCCTTTCCTATCTATCTATGGTTAGCAAAAAGAAAAAAATCCACCCCCGGCCCCCAAATGTGGTAGCTTTAAAAATATAAAAGCATTTATCATCTCACCACTTTTTGTTTCCAGAACCAGGATATGGCTTTTCTGGGTCTTGTTAGACAAGGGTCCATCAAATGTGTAGTCAGAGTGCTGTTGTCCCTGGTCTCAGTTTGGGGGGAGGGAGTTACCTCCCAGCCTCATGAGCAGAGCAGTCACGAAGGAGACATCAGCCCTTTTCCGTGTAAGGCTTTGTACAGGGCTAACTTACAAAGTGGCTGTCCCCCAGAATAACAAGAGATATGGCAGTTCACAGGCATATGTTAGAAGCAGTCACTGTACCACCCCATACTCAAGAGAGGGCCTTACACAATAGCACCGTACCAGGAAGCTACTAGCATCACCGGGGACCATATTAGACAGAAGCTGCCCACCAAAGAGAAAGATGCTGTTTTCCTTAAGTACAGACATAGTGTCACCTTGATTCTCTTTACCCCATTCCCCTTTGTGGTAGCCATCTTACTCACAATGCCTCACCAAGCTTATCAGTGACAAAAAAAAGAAAAAAGAAGAAGAAGAAGAAGAAGAAGAAGAAGAAGAAGAAGAAGAAGAAGAAGAAGAAGAAGAAGAAAAGAAGAAGAAGAAGAAGAAGAAGGACAGGAAATCAGAGGCACAAGCAAGTTCTTCTAAGAATAACTAACTTCCAATATGATGATACAGCTGTCCCTGTGTTCATGCACTGGCACTGGGTTATGAGAAGCACCTTGGTTAGCCCCATGGGCTTGTCTGAGCATTGGTTTCCTGATGAGACATATAGCTCCCGGACGGACAACTATATTAAAAACTGAACTCCAGAGGTTACAGACCCAGAGTTACATATTTACACATCCCCCTCCCTGTGCCTACTTTGCAAAGATTTGATGCTAATTTCAGATGATCTTGAAGCCTGCTTTCTGTTAGCTTGAAGCACACGTTCAATGCTGCCCTCTTAATTCTGATATAAATGTCTCAGCAACAGTTACACTATCTTCCAAATGAGTTATCTAAACTCCTTACCCCCTTTATTACAGCACACATGGAAGGAAGAAATAGGGACCTAACTTGTATTCAGAGATGCCCAGGGACAAAACTGGACTCATAAATGGATACACACACATGCACACGCATACGCACATGCATGTATATTTTGTTTTCTGGTGGAGTTGGCAGTGAAGCATTTTCCTTTTGTTTCCTTTTGCAGATTGTATCCCAGAGAAAGCTTTCCAAGTCCTTGCTGAAACATGGGAACACTGCGGGGAAATCCTCCATCACGGTAAGCTGGCCCTGTCAGAGTAGACCCTGTGCACTCACTGATCCAAAATAGACGCTAGAATGGCGAATTCCTCTGCCTGCTGGGAACTGACTGAACTACCCAAGGCATCTCTGCCTTTCCATCCCCCCCCCCCATTTTTCTTTCTTGTTAAAACCATTTTGATCCTTCACCCCTTAGGGAAAATGGGAGGAAAGTTGATTTGAATGTGGGGTCACTCACTTCTGCAGAGAACTTCTCCAATCACGAGAGAGCTCACAGGATAGAGTATGAAAGAGAAGAGAGTTGACTTTGTTGGACACAGTAAGAATACGGAATTGGCTGGAGTTTTCAGGTTGGCAAAGTGCAGCCTCCCCCCTCCCCAAATAATTTTATATTTTAAAAGCATTTAGCTCAAAGTTTGGCTTGCTTCCCAAGGAGAGGCCAACATTAATATTCTTCAAGTAACAGATTAGAGCTCTGGACCTTGCTTCCATAGACAATAGTTATTTAAGCAAATTTATTCTTTATTTAAAATGAAATAAATGCCAAAATTCAGTTCCTTTGACACTAGCAATGGATGCATTGCTCAATAGTTAATGAGTCTCCAGACTTGTTAAAGAAAAGGCAGGTGCTTTTAAAAAATTATTTTTTGAGACAGGGTTTCACTATAGCCCTGGCTGGCCTGGAACTTGTTTTGTAGACCATACTGGCCTTAAACTCAGAGATAAGGTTACTTCTGCCTCCTAAATTCTGGGATTAAAAGTAGGCATCTCCATACCCAGAAAGGAAACTTTTCTAAGTTGTTGCTCCTGATGTCTCTATTTCTAGCCTGGGTCCCATCTCACATTTCACACCCAGCATATAATAGCTCCTCAGTTACCCGCTGCTGTGTATTTTGGTGAGCTCCCTTCCAGAGCTCAAAATGGTGCACCATATGCATATGGAGTATGGAGAAACTCCTTGGCCAATGTCTGTGTTTATTCATTTTGAGGCCAAAATTACCCAAATGTGGGATAGGCTCCTGGACAGAGGAGCCCACCCTCCTCAGAAGCTGATGAGTGCTTTTTCCCTTAGGTAATTGCTGAAGAATTATCAGGCAATGACGACTATGTGGAGCTTGCATTCAATGCACGGAAATTGGATGATAAGGTAAAATGTTTCGCATTGACCTCATTGAGGGAAGTAATAAAGCTAAGACACACAGTTTAATCAGATTCCTCCTTGCAGCTATTTTTCCCTTTCAACCCACGTTATTAAACACATCAAAGACTTCAGAGGGTTTTGGAAGGTGAGGTTTTTCCCTAAATGGAGAAGCATTTGGTAAGACAATTCAGTAAGACTAAGTCATCATTTGTTTCTGAATGCCAGAGGTTGGCTGTGCCCAGGAAAATAAGACTTTCTGTCATCATTAGGGTCATTCTAAAGGAGAAGAGAAGCCATGAAGGGGAGTATCATGACATATCAGGAGGCATCTGTGTTTGCCAAGTTCAGGTTTAAGAGCTTTGCATACACTGTCTCATTTAGTCATTTGTACCGTTCCCCTGTGGTGGGTAGTATTAATGCAGGTGAAGAAAGAGATTAAAAGATGCAATAATTAATCCAAACTTCCTCCATGTCATAGTCCGTAGCTACTGAGTAACAGACACTAAGGCAGAATCAAAGACACAGGATTGTATCTACAGAAAAGCCTGTGGGTTGCATAAAGGGAAAGCTGGGAGAAGATTAGCAGGTAATGAGGAAATTCTGACTCCAAACGAAAAGAGACGAGTGAGTATGACCAGAAGTCCCCTAGAATGTTATGCAGACCAAGAGAAGTTTAGCAAAAGCATTGGGATGTTCCAGAGACAAAGTCAGCCACTGAGAACTCTATCTCCCAGCCAAGAGCAGTCCTTGGCAGTCTGGCCACAGTGCACAGTGTAAATGCAAGAATGGATATCAGAGCTCAGAAGCCTATAACCCTTGGTCAGCTCCATACCCTAAAAAAAGGGTATGCCAGGTGTATTGCCATGGCTACCACATCCTCATATTAAGTGATAAAACTTAAGGTCCAACCCCATATCAGTCTACTTTCCATCATGTTCTTTCCATAGTAACATCCACTCAATCGTTCAGTTAGTCCTGAGTGTGTATGTGTGTGTATGTGTGAGCATGTGCATGTATGTAGGCCCTACACCTGACAAAGCTTAGACCCCAATTTCACCATATCATACCTATAATTTTTCTTTCAAATATTATCCTTAAATAAAAAACATGTTACATTAGTAATTATTTACTTGGCCCCAACTTCCTGGAGTAAGAATCAATTTCTATACCCACTCTCTTATTTATCAATGTATTTTTTCATTCATCACTCATTTGTCAAACTGTCTTGTGTGTTTGTCAGCAGCAAAGGCACAGCACCCTCACACCACAGCCTGAACTTCATCATCTAAATTGGATGTAAATTAAAAATCCACATGGCATACAATGGTATAGTGATGTGTGATGTGCAGGATATGACAATTGATGTATGAATAAGAGTGTCTAGGAAGGGTGGTTGCTTGTCTACCTGTGAATATCTGGAGAGACTTTAAACTTGATAAACTCTCTCTCTCTCTCTCTCTCTCTCTCTCTCTCTGTGTGTGTGTGTGTGTGTGTGTGTGTGTGTGTGTGTGTGTGTGTGTGTGTGCCCACACGTGTGTGTGTTTGAATATTGTTCCTCAAGAGCCATCCATATTCTTTTTAAAAATAGGGTCTCTCACTGGGACATAGAACATACCAATTGTGCTGCACTGGCTGGTCAGCAAACCCCAGGGACCTACACATTTCTGTGTCCCCAGTGTGGAGACTAAAATACGTATTACCAAATATAAATCCCCTAGGGGCCCCTGCCGATGCATTTCCCCCCCAACTTCATGTTTTATTAAAAATTAAAACAGTTATAACCCAGTGAGTCCAATTAATGTTGCCTATATGCACACAGGTGTGGAGCTATCCACTGGGGCACAGGAACTTACCAGTAACCAACCCCACACCTGCAAAGCTGACACTCACCCCTCAAGAAGCCATCAATTGCCAACACCTCAGCTAGGAATGAGGCCTGGGGACCCCTCCCCATCATCAATAGTGGCATTTTTAACTGGCTTGATTCTGTGCAAGTCTTGGGAAGATAACCACAACTGCCGTGAGTTCACAACAGCTATGCCGTGTCCAGAGGACAGCATCTCACAGCATCCCTCCCCATCCTCCAGCTCTTACATTCTTTCACACTCACCTTCTATAAATGCTTTGAACACTGGTGGAAGGGTTGATCAAGATACCTCATCTATGGCTGGCATGCTCAGTCACTTATTCGAAACACTGACCAATTTTGATTTTCTGCATTATCCGTCAGCCACTGCAATAAGAAGCTTTTGGTCAAGGTTGAGAGCAAGACAACTCTATGAGTATAATAAACATGGATGCTTACAAGGCAGTTTGACACCCATTTAGAAAAATAACATCAAGAGTTTTTATTTTCAAGTTATAACTTCAATAGCCATGTATTTCAACCATATTTATAAAACCAGACATGGATTCTCTTTTGTGGAATAGCCCCTCAAATCAAGACAGCAGTTGGTTTTCCCATAAATAACTTTGTGCCACTATTACGCAAGTGGATACTGTAGTGAGATATCCACCCCACCAACATCTGTTGCACTGACCACACCCATTGGGCATGGGCACAGGTTAGGACTTTACCTGTGGGAGGCTAGGTCTGGGGTCTGGGACCCCAGCTCTCTCTCTCCTTCTCCCAATTGGTTCACGGAGGGCAGCCAATATGGAACCTCAGAGCAGGGACTTGCTGTGGTCATCTGCATTGCATGTAAGTGATTTCTCCCCAAATAAGATTATATTAATCTATATTTGAGCCAGCCCCACGAATCTTGTGCCATATACAGGTTATCTACTTCAGGATACATCTTGTCTAGTAGATTGGTTTTGTAGCATTGCTGATCCAGTGCCTGCCCCAGCAGCCTGGTCAGCGCATGACTGCGCTATGAAAACTAACTGTTAAGTAGAGGATTTTCTGGTCAGTTCACAACTGGCTTCTCTGTGTTGTGCAGTCCAAGTGGGTGGTGTCTTCAGCAATAGAGTCTTAACCTCTAGTTATCACACCCAGCTTTTTACACATGAGTCCACGGATTGAACATATTTTATCAACTGAGCAATTTCTTCAGCCCCACAAACTAAATACTGTTCAGTGTTTGTTTGTTGTTGTTGTTTTATGTAATAAGTAGCTAATGTGAAACATTTGCCAAGTGGTCTCTGTTGCACTAGGGTATGGACTAGAAATCCTCACCCTCTCACAACTATTAAGCTCCTTCTCTTCCAATGTCTTCCCCAGTCTCAGAAGAGTTCACAAAAATGCTTTGCAGTCTCTTTGCAGCGAGTATAATATTTGGAGGTTGCTTGTTTAATGGCTTGCAATGGTTTCTCTTCAGTCATTATCCTCTAAGTACCTCTAATTTGTTCTGTCAGTAACTGTTACAGTGCAAGGGGGCCTTGAGGTTTGTTAGTGGCCCTGTTGTCTCTAGCGAACTTGAACAGTTTCCCTTTTATCATTTGAACACTTGTGCATATGAAAGAGCCTCTGTCACATTTCACATGGTTCTGAAAGGTTGCTCGTACCTGACACTTGGGCTGGCCAGGGGCTAGGCTCAGCCAGGAGAGCCAACAGAGTACCTACATGACAGATATCCTGTAGCATACCTGGCTTCTCCCAGAAACGGCATCTGAAGAACCAGGTAGGAACGTCGAATGATTTGCTGACTCAACATTAGAAGTTATTCATCAGACATAGGAGCAGGGAATTAGACTTCAGGTCTATAGGAAAATGGTAAAGCCATGTTATAGAAAACATGTGTACCCCAAACATGTGGCAGCTATCTTTGGAAAATGTGAACTTCCATAATTTTCTTTCCAGATAAGAATATCACAGTACAATTATTTCCTTTCACAAGAAAAAAAAAACAGTCTAAAAATTGCATCATGAATATATGGGGGAAATGGGCTGTATGCAGTTCATATCAGTCATGAACATCTGTCTCCCCAGGCTCCTGGTTAATCTGGTAACCTCCAAGTATTTAAATGCCACCGGTATACATGCTACATGTATACTCTCAAAACAGAAAACAAGAATCAGGGACAGAGTGACCCAGTGTGTCTCCTGATTCCCAGCCAAAGCTCAGGTTGCTTTCAGGAAATAGGACACCTGGTTCAGAGGATCAGGAAGCCAGGAGAAGGAAGGCAAGGGTATGCTTGAGGTCAGCAGTTGTCAAAGAGAGGTCTAGTATCCATGAACCCTTCCATGGAAATCCCTAAGTTAAACCTGTTTCCATAGTAACACCCAGATGTCCTTTCTCTTTTGATTCTCATTCTTTCACTCATGAACAATGAAGTTTTCCCAAGGGTGAATAAACCACACTGAGTACAGGAGCAAATATGAGGACCCAACTTTCTCTTCTTCCTGTTGAGGTCACTAAACTGTTGTGCAAAAATGCCAAATAAAACTCTCCTTAAACTGTTGGGCACAAATGCCAAATAAAACTCTCCTCACTACCTTCTTGAATTTGGAAAGTACATTTTGTTGTGTTGTAGGTTTTGTCACTTAAAAATTAATATACAAAATGAATATTTTTAAATGTAAAAGTTTTATGGTGTGGTATGCATTAACTAATACAATCCACATAAAAGTTTGGGGGGTCCCCAACAATTTTTTAAAATGTAAAGGGCTATTAAAACCAAAAGTCTAAGAACCACTGTAGGATTCATCAGAGAGTGCTAAGTTCTTTTGCAAGCCGCAGCGATAAATGCCTCCACTTTTCTTGGCAGGGCGTCACTTTTTTTTTTTTGTTTGTTTGTTTGCTTTATCCTGTTCAGCAGACTAGCAGCCATCTATCCAAGGTGGACATCTTTGAAATCTGACAAACATTTGTCATTAAGAGCCAGCATGTAAATTAAATTACATTTGTGAAGAGTTAACTTATTTATCTAATGTTAATGCAACTCACTTAGTGGAGAGAGACTTTATAACTTCTTTTGTTATATTAGCATGTATTTATTGTATTAGTAGGCAGTTGGCAATTAGCCTAACAGGTAGGCGCACCGTAGTAACATTGATGTAATAA